CCTGTTCTGGTTCTAGCCGATCGAAAATCGACTCCACGCTAAGACCTACTGCCGTGAGCACCTCTTCGCCAGAGCCCTTTTCAAGAACAAGCACATCCACACTGCTATCAACACCATAAGTGTCCACGGGGCAATGGGAACAGGATTCCAACCCACGCCTACACAGCTTCTTCTCAGCGCTACTCATACATGAAGCACTAAAGGCCTCATCCACATAAGGACCTATGGTTCGTCCTCGAGCTCCTCCAACTGGTTGTGGAGCTGCTGAATCTGCTGCCGAATCAACCGACTGCGCCTCTCCCGTGTTGTCTCTTCCACCTCCGGCTCCTGTGCCACAATCCACTGATCCTCCCACACTGTCGACGATGAGCTTCCCGGCACCATGGCACCCTGCGTCTGCACATACTCTCGCTGGGCACCCTGCACCTGCACATGCTCCCGCTGGACCGGCTGCGACTTTGGCTTGGCCGTCGCACGTATCACCGCCTTGGCCTTTGGTCTCATCTGCATCACCGCCGGTGACGGCGGATTCACCGTCACGGGGACCACGGTCTGCGTCTCCATGATGCGCCGGGACTTCTTCTGGTCGCGGATGGCGATGTACAACCTGAACTGTGTCATTGTCGGGTGGCTGGTCTTCTCGGCAGTTGGGGATCGGCCCTTGATGAACTTTCTCACCCAAGAAACATACTTTTTGTCTGTCTCGTATGCCACCTTGAAACTCATCAGCTGGCCTGCCTTCTGGTACTTCCCGATATTGAAGATCACACGCCCAAGCAGCGCCTCGGATCCGGGCACGGTTACGCCTCCGTCGTCGTCGCTGTGATCTGGTGCCTCGTCCAGGATCTTCGCATTGATGTCCGACAATTGGTCGTCCATTGCCGACTGGCTCGTCACCTCGGCCGTCAGCTCGTCGATCAGGTTCGTGCGCACATAGCCCTCGGTCATCTCCATCGGCACGTCGCCCATCATCATCTCGCCGGTGTAGCTCATGTTTCTCTGGGGCTTCTACAACGCCGGGGGCTCTATCAGTCGCTGGCAACACAGAAAACTCTGCACGTGCTTCACGGAAGTCTCCTTCATCTTGTCACGACTGATTCCCAGGCCCTCGAAGATTGGAAGAGCGTAATGCCCTCGTTCGGTCTCCCGCAACTTGACTTGTACCCCATACTTACCGATCTCCAACACATCACTCCCCATATCTAATTTAACTTGCAAACTCCGCAACAACTCCTTAGATAGAAGAAGTGGCGTCTCTGACCCCGGTCCTGGCAAAACAGCTGCCCTAATCGCCAACTGCTTGCCGCCTAAACACACCGGAATCAAAGCTGAAACTGTAGAGCTCAGGGTACCTGCATTTCCGAACCGGAACTCATGCTTCTCCCGAACAAACCTAACTCTCAGCCCCATCTTACCCAGACACTCCGTCATACGTTGTAACACGGACTCACCCACTAAGGTCCGCCTACACGCAGTGTCAGGAACCCCATGCTCAGCAAGATCTGCGCACTCAGACATGTATGCCTCATGAGAGCGCTCGTCCTTGCGATATTCCGAGCTGTTCAAAAACTCTGTCAAGCTACGCTCAAAGTCCCCCTTCACCTCGTTGGTCTCGCCAATGGCTTCCTGACGATCAGCCAAGATCACTTCGACTCCGTCCTCCTTTTCTGCCAGAAAGATCTCGAACCTTTCCAGCTCATCCACATCCAAGAAGTGCTCAGCATCGATGTTCTTGTAGTCGCCGCCATGATCATCTGCCATCATTGCCTCGTTGGAACTGCTTGGCCGCTGATGCCGCACCGCGCCGGATTGTTGTCCTCGCCGTGGGCACTCTCGCTTCCAATGTCCTTTCTCATGGCACAAATGACATTTCGTTCTACTCTTCAACATCTCAAGCTTGCCCTTGACGGTGCCCGTGAGCTTCCACTGATTGCCTTGATCTGGCTTATATCCCCGACCAAGACGCTTTTGCTGAAGCCTCTTCCGCACCTCCTTGTAGGTCTCAAAGACGTCCAGAGCGTCCTCCTCATCGTACTCATCGGTGGCTTGGACCTGGTCCGCCACCGCTTGGAACACATCGTCGATGAGCTCCTCGCCCTCCGTCTCCTCGGGATCCATTGTGCTCTCGAAGACCTCCTTTGTCTTGGCACCTCCACTCTTGGCTGCACCCTGTGGGAAGATCGCCTGCACTGCCTTGACCACATCCTCATGTTTCAAGGATCCCTTGGTATGCGTCATGAGCAAAGCTTCTGATGTCTGTTCGAGCTGAAGCTTCCGAATCAAAAACCACCCGCGGACCTCCGGTGGCAGCTCCACGCTATGTTCCTGAAGTCGACGGTATGCAGAATCCAGCCGCGCGCTCATGTTCCTGTACGTCTCTCCAGGCTTTATCTGCAATCCATAGAAGTACTCTTGCAAGTGATTGTGCAACGCCTCCTTGTTCAACTCCTTATAGCGTAAGTCTAGAGCTTCCAAAATCAGAGTGTGACCGCCCTCCTTGGTGATTTTCTCCAGTGGCAGAGCCTCCACCACTTCTTCGGCTTCTCCTGCAACGTATTCCAGGAGTTTCGCTCCCCATCGATCCTTCGTGTAGGTGTTGGGAAGCGCTAACAGCATCAACTCTGCACGCCTTCTCCAGCGCCTATATGTTGCTGGTGCACTGCCGTCAAAGCGCTCAAGGCGCGGCTTCTCTTCATCCCTCCCCGGACCACTCATAGCACTGGCTCCTCTGGCTAAGCGGAAGTCGTGCGCTTCTGTCGCCTCCTGCCTGGCAGTGGCAACACCGAAGCTCCGCTACCACCTGAGATATCGATGATCCCAGGCGGCTTCGACACACTCACTTTTCCATGGCCAACACTTCGGTGGATCTACGGTAACAAAGGGGACCTTGATATTCAATGGCCCGCGTTCGCAATGTACAAAGAATCGAACATGTGATTTCTTAACCCTTCCGAGACCGTCTGTGATCACACAGCGTGGCTGCAAAGACCTTTGGTCAAATCTGCAAGTAGGGTTTTGGGGTATAATCAACGATACCTGTAATATGGTAGCCCCAAACTGTATTGGTAATTTTTCGTCACGTCTATAGAGGGCCGTGGCTTGAGACAAGCATCGGTTTGGGGTTGAGCTTGCTGCAAGTAAGGCCAGAGAAAAAGCTTTCCACCCTGGTCCACGTGCTCATGTCGTTCAATTCAAGTGCTGATGTCGCTTCAAAGCAAGAGTGTGGGGGGACATGGGCCTGAAGACGAATATGTACCTTCGTAAACGGTGCCTTGTGAAAGAACCCTGCCCTGCAGCAACGTGAGGAATTTCACTTGATCGAGCAATATTTAGAACAGGGTTTCGGGGGCATATAAATGTATCTCTCTCTGCCGTTGCATCCATATAAAATTACACAAGTATAACAAGGAACCCCAAGAAACACAATGTTGGTATTTCTTTAGGCTTCGTTAGCAGGTCCCCCGTGCCTCGTGCGTCAAGCTGGGAACTAGCCCAGCCCTGATGACCACTACCTGCGCAGGGGGCCACGTGGTCGAGGAAATGCAATACTGTACGGGGTCGGAATGATTGCCGATCGTCGAATCATAGTTGTACTGCGGTGTACCCAAAAACCCTGTTCTCACTCTTGAAGCCCTTATGTTGAACATCACAGCCATCTTTCTCTTTAATCTGCCGCATACACCGACCTAACCTGTCATCTGAAGAGGGGCAGCCAATTGCCCAACATTGCATGAAAGCGTCATGCAAGCTTGGCATGGGCCGAGAACCCTCAAAAAAGTACCACGACTATGTGACCCTATATATATATATATATAGATGTATGTATATATATATATATATACTTATATATATATATACATAATTGCTGAAAGAGCTGCTAAAGGCAGTTTGCGGGTACATGTAGCTGAGCGATGAGCACTCTCAGTCAGGTGTAGGTATCAATCCATTCTGTGATTTGTGTTGGTTTCCCTACGGCGCACTGCAAGGGACCGCACTAGACAGTCAGACTGAATGTTGATGCAAGTTCCGTGCCTGGCCCTGGTTTAGTGTTGAGCGCATAAGACCAGAAGTCTAGAAGTGTAAGTCCATGACCATGAGGTGCGGAAGAGTTTCAAACACGTTCTCTATATAGGTGCGCCCGGTAGAAAAACCCGCTATCTTCCCAGTGCCCTAAAGGGCTAAATCCTAAAAACCCTGAATGCCTCGCTCCTGAACCCTTTTTCCGTACAAGCCCGAAACCCTCCAACGAAAACCCTAACCCTACATAAGCTTTTTTTTTAACCCTACATAAGCTGAACCCTACACCCTATCCGATGAACGACGCAGAAAACAAGCATCCCCGCTTTTCGGTCCTTCGCTTTGCGAGGGTAGCTCTGCAGGCACGCCCTGCTTGTCTAAGCTTCTTGGCTGGAGATCCCGTGCCCAGGGTGTGTGGGTTGAGAATTCAGAGCTTCGAGGTTCCATCTGCGTGAGAAACCCTAAACCCCAAACCCGAAACCGTTTAGTAGTAGCGTGTTGGGATCTTGGCTGGCGGCGTTCCTGACGCCGGCGCTCCTTGGCTATGCCTCTTCCTCCTCTTCCTCGTCGAAGTCGTCCTCGTCATACAGCGGCTTCGACAAACCTCTTCCTGGGACAGTGCAAGGGCACTTGAAGCCAAGCCACTAATCTGCTACTAGTACCCTCTTTTTCCACGTGTTCCAACTGCGGTTCTAAGCCAGTGCATGGATAAACAGCACACGGGTAAGCTTGCAGGGAATTGGTGGATCCTCAGGGTCTGAGTGGCTTTGATTAAGTTAGAAGGGAATTGGGGGTCCAGGGTTTGGGGGCTGGCTGAGGGTCTGAGTGGCCTTGAAGGGAATTGGTGGGTCCCGGAATTTGGGATTTAGGTCGTGGGTGCCTAAAGACTGCATATCAGCGCACAGGCAGCCAACAAAAACGCAATAATTAGGCCGCCGTTTTTTGGGATGGGCTCGAATAAGGAACAAAAGCATTGAAGAGGCTCATGGGATTAAACAGGACGACAAAGGAGTGGCGCCATCGTGTTTGGCCTTGTCCTTGTCCGCATTGGCCTTGAGCAGAAGCCGTGCAACCTCCAACTGTCCATTCTGAGCTGCGATGTGCGAAGGGGTGGTGCCATCTACCAAGGCCTTGTCCTTGTCCGCACCGGCCTCCAGCAGAAGTTGCACAACCTCCAACTGTCCTTTCTCAGCTGCGACCAACAAAGGGGTGGCGCCATCTATGGCTCCATCTACCAAGACCTTGTCCTTGTCCGCATTCGCCTCTAGCAGAAGCCGCACAACCTCCAAGTATCCATCCTGAGCTGCGATGTGCAAGGGGGTGGTGCCGTCTACCAAGGCCTTGTCCTTGTCCGCATTGGCCTCCAGCAGAAGCCGCACAACCTCCAACTGTCCTTTCTGAGCTGCGATGTGCAAGGGGGTGGTGCCATCTACCAAGGCCTTGTCCTTGTCCGCATTGGCCTCCAGCAGAAGCCGCACAACCTCCAACTGTCCATCCTGAGCTGCCATGTACAAGGGGGTGGTGCCATCTTCCTTGGCCTTGTCCTTGTCCGCATTGGCCTTGAGCAGAAGCCGTGCAACCTCCAACTGTCCATTCCGAGCTGCGATGAACAAAGGAGTGGCGCCATCGTGTTTGGCCTTGTCCTTGTCCGCATTGGCCTTGAGCAGAAGCCGTGCAACCTCCAACAGTCCATTCTGAGCTGCGATGTGCAAAGGGGTGGCGCCATCTTCCTTGGCCTTGTCCTTGTCCGCATTGGCCTCCAGCAGAAGCCGTACAACCTCCAACTGTCCATTCTGAGCTGCGATGTACAAAGGAGTGGCGCCAGCGTGTTTGGCCTTGTCCTTGTCCGCATTGGCCTCCAGCAGAAGCCGTACAACCTCCAACTGTCCATTCCGAGCTGCGATGTACAAGGGGGTGGCGCCATCTTTCTTGGCCTTGTCCTTGTCCGCATTGGCCTCCAGCAGAAGCCGTACAACCTCCAACTGTCCATTCTGAGCTGCGATGTACAAAGGAGTGGCGCCAGAGTGTTGAGTGGCGCCAGAGTGTTTGGCCTTGTCCTTGTCCGCATTGGCCTCCAGCAGAAGCCGTACAACCTCCAACTGTCCAATCTGAGCTGCGATGAACAAAGGGGTCGCGCCAGAAACGGAGGTCTTATCCTTGTCCGCATTGGCCTCTAGCAACAGGCGTGTCACCTCGAGGTGGCCGTGCTGGGCTGCCACAAACAGGGGGGTTGGATGGCCAATATATACTAAGTCTGGATCCTGCGGCCTTTGGAGAAGATTCTCCACTTCTGAGGTCAGGCCGCTTCTGGCAGCATCCCGAAGCGCTGTCACTTGCTCGTTTGATGCTGGGCAGAAGTTTAAACGTACGACCTGAACTTCCCCGGTTCTCAGGGAGTGATCGTCATCTAGAACCGCACCATCACTCAAACACACCAGCCTTTGCCTGAACCTTGACAGCCCGCATATGTTATGCAAGTGCTGCTTCAATGCCCGAACCGGACGCACGTCTGCAGGAAGCGTCTCGTGAAAGCTCGCCAAGTCAAGAATAACGAGTTCTTCACCTGACACTGTCTGAATGCGCAGCATGTCTGGCGCTGAACGGAAGGGACTCGAATGATAAACTTAACCCTGAAGCGCTAAACCGTAAAGCCCCGGACTGCGAAATCCGAAAAAGTTGAAAACCTGCATTGAAGACGGTTTGCCCTGGGATTCCCTTTGCTTTACCCCAAGAACATGAGCATAATGATGTTTCATCTTCCTGGCTCCTACCTGATGGGGACTGCGAGCCAAACTTAGGATTTGGTGGTTGGCTGTCAGACAAGGGCAAGGCCATGTGGTCTGCGCAGCAATAACCGTAGAAGTAGTACTCATAGTCATATAGCAATAGTAGTATCTGTAGCTGTAGCAGTAGCAGTTGTAGTAGTCGTCGTCGTAGTAGTTGTTGCTGTAGTGGTAGCAGTAGTTGTCATAGCCGTTGTGGCAGTCGTAGTCGCAGTCGTAATCGCAGTCGTTTTCCCAGTCGCAGCCGCAGCAGCGGCAGCAGGAGCAGTACAAGCACAAGTAGGAGCAATGGCAGTAGGAGCAGTAGCAGTAGCAGTAGCAGTACAAGTAGGAGCAATGGCAGTAGGAGCAGTAGCAGCAGCAGCAGCAGCAGTAGCAGTAGCAGTAGCAGTAGCAGTAGCAGTAGCAGTAGCAGTAGCAGTAGCAGTAGCAGTAGCAGTAGCAGTAGAGTAGTAGTAGGGTAGGAGTAGGAGTAGGAGTAGGAGTAGGAGTAGGAGTAGGAGTGGAGTAGGAGTAGGAGTAGGAGTAGGTAGTAGTAGTAGTAGTAGTAGTAGTAGTAGTAGTAGTAGTAGTAGTAGTAGTAGTAGTAGTAGTACTAGTAGTAGTAGTAGTAGTAGTAGTAGTAGTAGTAGTAGTAGTAGTAGTAGTAGGAGTAGTAGTAGTAGTAGTAGTAGTAGTAGTACTGTAGTAGTCTTAGTTTTTTTCACCACCTAGCACGTAGTAGTAGTAATTGTTGTTGTTGTTGTTGCTGTTGCTGTTGATGTTGTTGTAGTGGTAGTGGTAGCGGCAGACATAGTGGCAGTAGTAGTAGTGGTAGTAGTCGTCGCCGTCGTCGTAGTCGTAGTAGTAGTAGTAGCCGTCGTCGTCGTAGTAGTAGTCGTCGTAGTCGTACTCGTAGTCGTAGTCGTAGTAGTAGTCGTCGTCGTCGTCGTCGTAGTCGTAGTCGTAGTAGTCGTAGTAGTCGTAGTAGTCGTAGTAGTAGTAGTCGTCGTCGTCGTCGTCGTAGTCGTAGTAGTAGTCGTCGTCGTCGTAGTCGTACTCGTAGTCGTAGTAGTAGTAGTAGTAGTCGTAGTCGTAGTCGTAGTCGTAGTCGTAGTCGTAGTCGTAGTCGTCGTAGTCGTAGTCGTAGTAGTCGTAGTAGTCGTAGTAGTCGTAGTCGTAGTAGTCGTAGTAGTCGTAGTAGTCGTAGTAGTCGTAGTAGTCGTAGTAGTCGTAGTAGTCGTAGTAGTTAGTCGTAGTAGTAGTAGTAGTAGTAGTAGTAGTAGTAGTAGTAGTAGTAGTAGTAGTAGTAGTAGTAGTAGTAGTAGTAGTAATATCTGACGCCACGTTTTCGTGGCGCTTGGGAACGGTCTTGCTTACGGCGTTTTCGGTCTTCCAGGTCGAGCAATCACGAGTTTTTCGTCTTGAGGGTTTTGGAGGATTTACAGAATCGTGGTGACGATCTTAGGGGTTTTGGCTTTGCAGATGCATGCAATGCGTTCACCTGGTTCGAGCAATCATGGGTCTCATGATACATGTACGTCATCATGCCCGCCACCCCCACCCTCACTGGACCCCCTTTAAAAAAAGTACGAAGAACTATCTTAGAGACGCGTATAGACGTGTTTTGGGGTCATGGAATGAGTGGCTCTAAGAGGCCGGCGGAGCCGGGATCCGTCGCGGAGCATGTAGCCGAACAGCACCGGTTCACTGGAATATACCCTAGCAGCCCTAGGCCCCACTATGACTTAGGGTTCGTTGCGCAACTTCGCATCTGCGGCAGGTCAACATCGAAGCATGATTTTGCCAAATGCCGCACATGAGTGTGGTGAATACGACTGGGACTGTATGCGCTGTCCAAGTTTTCGACGTCTTCATCCCACGCAAACAACTTTTTGCTGAGCATGGTGCTAAGACACCAAAACTCAGACACGTTCCAACACAACAGAGCCCTTCTTTTCCTAGCACCAGGAACACACTACACACTTAATCGCAGTCGTGGCCAAGACCAAAGTGTGGGGCAAGCCATGTAGGCAGAAATCAACGCGCCAACCACATGGTGCACATGCTACAAGACCATGGAAAGCCACAACTAGAAATGGGGTGGCAAGTAAGATAGATCAGGTCGAAACCACCTGAATCACCGATTGCCCCGGCAGCAAGCTAACTTGCCAGCACAACCCATGCATCTGTACGTGCTGCCAGCAGAAAGTGACACACAGCTCCGATTGATCCAAGCTTCTTTCCCTCTTCTCACGGGCAACGCGCACGCGCTTGTCCTAGGAAGGCACCGAGGAAGCTCCACCAAATCAAAATCCCCTTAAGGATCCCGGATTAATAACAGGAGCGTCATGAGGATCCACTGCGGACCTTCAAAAGGGGGGGGGGGGGTCGATGAGGGCGGTACGGTCTACACATTATTCGGTTCGCGGAGGTTTCCGATGTAAGGCCATAGGAAATTACCCATAGGCCCCATGGTAGTTCCTTTTTGGGACTACCTTATAGGATTCTAAATATGAACACCGAAAAAGAACTACTACGGGGCATCTGTGTAATTACGTCTCAATGAGCTTCCTTGAGACTCTGCGTGGAGATCCCCGGCCAGGCACTGTTCAAAATTAAAATCCCGTTAGGCTTTCCGAAAGCCTCACTATCCAATAGGGTTTCACTGTGAAAATTTTGATCTTCTCGATTGCAGCTGTGCCGCACGCTTGCGTTCGCCGCCATCTGGTCGGTAGAGAGACTTCTTTTTGCCTTCCTGACATAGCAAACATACGGGAGTTTCCGAAAATAGGCGACCCTAATAGATAGTACCCTGAATAGTAGGATCCTCTAAGGACCCCAAAATAAAGGTGCCCCTCTAATTTTCGGAAACTCCCATACAGATAGCAGTGCTGAAGATCTCTCGGCCACTTCCGCCGGCTTACAGTAAACCCATAAAGTTGGAAACCGGATTAATGCCAAACAGTGCTGGGATTCCCTATACATTGCTCTTAAGGATTGAGGCTATTGGGTTTCCAACTTTTGGGCTTCTACTGTAGCTTTAGAGCCGAAACTATGAAACCCAAGACCCTTTTTTGCATCAGGACTTGTGCAATCGCACTGGATACATGGACAGAAGGTCAGCACTCCTGTGACTGCACTTCCATACCCTGCTCTAGTAGGGACAACCTCAAAAAAGGCAAACACGATCCATAGCTAACTGCGCGTAGTGCACTTGCCGAGACCCTAAATCCTAGACCCTATGCTATACCTGGACCCCAAATAACCTAGCTTTTTGAGGTTTCAGAAAGGAAATCATATTAAGGAACCCTGGATCCAGGTAGACCAAACGAGGTGGCCAATGGCTGCACCCTGGGTACTTCGACCACCTGTGAGAGGAGTTATATAGGGGTTTAGGGTTTGTAAGTTACGTTCTAGGGATGAGTTCGAGCAGTCGGGCACTAGCATCCCATACATTCCAGTGTAGATGCCGTGGAAGGCCGAGTAGCCAAGATCTGCTTCGCCACCTGAATGCGAGCTTTCATATGTTTCTGCTCTGAATCCAGTGTGCACTGAAGTGTACTACGGTAGGGTCCTCTAATTCTGCCTCACTTGCTGAACGCGGGCATTTGGGGTAATGGGTTCTCGAGTCTGTGTAATTGCTTGGAAGCTTCCTTTCTGATGGAAGCACACTGTAGGACGCTCGGCTTGGAGTGCGAAAGATCAAAACTGCAAGCTAGAGTTTGGGTTTTGGGGATGTCGTGCTTTGAACTTGGGCCGTCCAGTCGGCTACAGCTCGCTCACTCTGCGGCGAGGATCCTCCGGCTGGTGGTGCGGGATCACAAGCTTTGGACTTAGGACTTGGGCTTTCGGAATCATGTTTCGGGCTGTGGGCCGTAAACTAGACCTAAGAGTAACCCAGGAATTAAAAGGGTGCCCTTTTTGGTTAAGGCGGTTATAAGGGAACCTAAACCCCTTAAAAATGGAATAAAGGCCTACTCTGGGTCCTGGTAAACCCTACAACCCGACCCCTCAAGCAGCTTCGTGAACAAGCCCTTACAGGCCGCTAACAAGTAGCGAACTGCTTGGAGGGTCGGGGGACTTAGTAAGTAGGTGATAAGTAGACTTATAAGTACCCTAAAAGGGACCCTAATTGGGGTTATGGTACTTATAAGTCCCTAAAATAACCAGTTACTAAGTCCCCCGACCCTCCAAGTATGGAGCCGAACCAGCATGAGTCTGGTACAGTAACAGGGTTTCGTGGGTTTCAGGAGCACCCGAGAACCCAGATCAGCGCTCTTTCCTGTTTGAACGAGGTCTCTGAAGTGCCTCCAAGTTGCGCTCGAACCTAAACCCCAAACAACCTTGAGAAAGAACACTAATGATTACTTCATACTTAGACTAGGGCTGTGGGGTTTAAGCATCAAATTATCCGTGCATATGTGTGTCTAGGCAGGGATGTCTGTATGTCCGTATGTTTGCACGAATGAGTGTATGAACGAATGTGGCATGAATGCCTGAAAGTCAATGAGCAGGTAAGGAGACAAGAAAACACATAAGTATGAACGCATTCATGCGTGTATGATGCTGTATGTATCTATGCACGCATGGTATGAGTTTAAGTACGGTTATATGCGTATGCAAGCTAAACCCTAAACCCCGAAAAACCCTAAACCCTAAACCCCTGGACCCTCAGACCCTAAACCCTAAGCCCCGAAAAACCCTAAACCCTAAAATTACCCAGAAACAAGAGGGACAAAGGACCCCAGGCCTTGACACTCCGAATGACGCCGCGCTCTTTGGCCGCCCTGGCCGTCGAGATGTCTACCCCCCCCCCCCGCCCC